CTCTATTTGGTTATAGTTTTGATTTACATAATTAAATATTATTTCCCATGTTAAATGAATCCCTGAAACGGCTCTTCACTTTATAGGCTTCTGAGCAGCAATCAGGCATTATCTGTTTCAGATGTGGACAACATGCCCTGAAGGCCAGTGACAGCAAGGAGAGGGCTTGCTTTTCTCAGCCTTAGCCAACTTTCAGTACTTTCTGTCGGCCAGCCCAGCTGCGTGGTCAGGTGCACAGGTGAATGGCAGTTGCCTGCTCTAAGCTTGAGGCTCTGGCTGAGGGCAGCACTGTTTGCAGCCTAGGTTTGAACCATCTGGTCCCTGGGCTGGTCCTGTGCACAGAACACATGCTGTTGGCTTCTTAATTCTGAAAAAAAGAACATGATTGCCTTTCCCACCCAGTTGGCTAGAACCCACCCTATAAAATCCCTGGCCCATGCTGTAGCCTCAGTTCAGATTCTGGACAGTCTTTACTCCAGCTCTGAACTTGTTTCCCACTCGGCTAACATACTTTCTGCTGCTTCCCCAGAGCTTTCCTGCGCTCCAGCCACACTTGGGTCATGGGATTGGTGATACCCCACCCCCTGCCTCCTGGGCAGCAGCATTTGCTCCCTCTGGGCTATTCTGTGCTGCACAGGAGTGGGGGGGGGGCGGGGGGAGTCTCCTCAGCTTTTAAGGTGACTGGCACATGCCTCACTGAGAGAAGAGGGTGGTGGGTCACCAAGCGAAAGTCAATTCCCTCCCATGTCAGGCCAGCCCTGCTCCCTGACCGAGGCCACCACTGCCCAGTGCCCCAGTTTGGGAATGAAGTGGTGATGGAAGCAAGTGGATCCTCAGAGAGACACCTCTGTGACAAATCCAGACTTTAAGACACAGCTCAAAAGCATTTCTCTATTGGCTCTGTAGGTTGCCTGTAAGGAGAGTAACACTGTATGGCCTTTATATTTGAAGTATGTTATTTCAGATTACTTTTTTTTTTCTAATGAAAGTCACCTACAGACATTTTCATTTATTGAATAGTTTGCTTTGGGAACCTTGCTATCATTGATCCAATAGTTTAGAGGATCTTAGTCACAGCTTCTCAAAGTTTGAGACAAAAGGTGTTGTTTATTAGAACAAAGACAGAGCTCCCTGGGACACCCATATGTGTGCACACACAGTGGAAACCCCACACCCAGCAGGCACCAAGCAGGAAAAATGACCCACAGTATCACAATGTTATCGGTTAATGTGCCTGTTTTTCTCAACAAGGAAAGAGTCTTTATTATTTAGAACAAACAAAAAACAAAAAACAAAAAACTAAAAAATGCTTCTTGGGAGCACTGCACATGTTGTCACCCTCTGAACTTCAGGTCACCACGTGGGTCATGGGCAGGCACCCACTCCAGCCTTCCTTGTATAGGCTTCTCAGCCCCATGGAGAGGACAGGCCATGTGTCAGATTCTCACCTGCTGTTTCGTAGATGAAGAAAAGCAGGAAGGTGACCTTTGCGGGCACAAAGTATAAGATGAACTGATAATTGGGCCATTTTTCTACTGCCCACTTGCTTTTTTTAAGCCAAATTTTGTGTAAAGTGACTCATGACATTCTAGTCCAAAAATGGAGCCAGAGATAGCTAACTCAGCAGCAACTCACATTCACCTGGATTCTTTGGACAAGTCAGCCTTCCCTACTCTCACGGGATTACTGAGTCATTGTTCAAGCTAAAGAAGGAATTTCTAGATTTTATACCTCCTGTCACATTAACCTTCAAACTTAACTTTGAGTCTTCCAAACTGGAGCTGATTCTTTCTCCACTATTAGGCAAAAATGTTCAAGATTATTTATTATAGAGATTTGATGAAGAGGATTTAAAGGTATGAAATAAAAGTAATGTGAACTTTCCTCTAAACGTGATATTTGTCTTTCATCACCTGGTTAGATGAAGAAAATGAAGGTAACCACAACGTATAATACTGTGCTTTTTAAAGTGACATTTCAAAAATTATAAGATAAGTATTTCAAGATTTTTTGAAATAACAAGTGCCACAAAGCAAAGAAAACCAACTGCCAGACGTACTCACTGCCAAGTTTGAAATAGTTTTAAATTTAAGCACTTTTTGTAACTTGCAGCCTTGAGAATGGAGCCTGTCTGTGAACACAGTAGACAGTCTGATCCACTCCAGCAGAAACTCGAAGTTCGGTGAATCAACTGCCACTTGTGTCTGTCACTTTCAAGTAACCAGATTTTGAAAACTGAAGAATTTCCAAAAATTCTTTGTCTACCACTCCTCGGCACCACAGTGGTCTGGAAGCACGCTCTGTGTCTCAGTGGATGCTGTTGCAGGGACTCCTGTAACGCAGAGCAACATCCACTCTTCCTGCCTGTTGTTCCACAGAGGACCCTGGACACGGAGGTCAGTTTTTATAAAAATCTCAGGGTAATTTTTTACCACGTCAGTTAAGGCTAAACATATTCTGTGATACCTGAAGTTCTGAAGACATCTGCCTCTTATCCAGGCGCTCTAATGTGCATGGTGAACATGGGCAGGATATTCCGAGGCAGGGGAGCGCACCTCTTACACCCCTCCTATCATCCCAGCAGGTGGGGGCCACCCCAGCATCCCTTCCGGAGAGATGCCTGCCCAGCCGCCGTCCACGCTTGTTTCTTGGTGTGGAGTGTGTGTTAGTGACACACACAGCAGTAAGATTGGCCACATAGGATAGGGCATGGGCACACGATGTACACTCAGACAACCGGGTATAGATGAGTCATTTGCTTGAAAAGATAGCTTCCCACAGATTTGTTGACTTTATCTTATAGGATCTGTGTTTACATATTGGAAGGAGGTATGACTTATAACATTATGCTGTAGCTGACAGATTTAATGAAAACAAGTATTTAATGGCAGTTTGTGATATTTTTTAATCTGTTCACTAAATTGTAAGTTGACAATTTTTGTGAAATAAGAAGTATCTACAATGCTAACATCAAATGATGACTTTTAACCTCCCAAATGAGCAGTCCGTCCTGAAAGGGTTCCCTCTCTCTTACGTTTCTTCACCGAGGGGCTGTGTACTGGGCTGCATCTCTAATCTGACAGCTTTACTAGCCCACACGGCCAGCAGAGCAGAGAGCTGGTCATCCCATCTCCTCGGCTTTCTCCTTCCGCCATTGAAAAATGAAGCCAAGTTTTGCAGCAACTTTTTGGTGAATTGCCAATTAGTAATTTGCTATGGGACTGTCCATCTCCGAGGAGGAGCTGTGTGCGGTGCTGGTAGACGGGAGAGTAAACAATGACCTTGTACTTCTTTCACAGCCACTGAGCGTAAAACACTTGGCTCTCACACCCTGAACAGTACAATTGTGAAGAATAAATAGATGAGTTATTAGTCACTTCTAGACTTTTTCTAAAATCTCAATGTGTGAAGGTATCTCATAATGCAATTTTGGGCTTATTAGGGACAAAAGGATTTTGCAAATCCTAAGTAGCTCATCTTTGGACACATGCCTCTTCTCCGTGTGAAAGGTAACAGTGCTGGGGCTAGCCGGGAGCCCTCCATTCGGGTTTGGGTCCTTCAGACCTTACAGAGTCTGGTCCTGGTGTGGGAGAAGGGGTTTAGGAATTTTATGTTATTTTAAGGTGGCTTAGCATATTTTAAATGTGTAATAAAAGCAAATTCTAATAAACTGGTTGTTAATTACATATCTTACTTTGTCCAGGTTTTCTAATGTGAGTGAGTGTTTCGTCGTGTTTTAACTCTGTCAGTTGTGAGAAATTCCAGAGGTAACTGCCGTCTTGGCTTTGGTAATTCATCTCTGGAAGCACCTCAGTGGCATCCAAGCTCCAGATTTGTCAATGTGAAAATAGGGCCCTCGCCAGCCTGGGACGCTGCCTGGGGATGGCTGACTAACTCTAGTTCCGTTGCTTATGACTGGACACGGAGCAGGAAACAGGTGTGTCAGGTGTTCACAAAACCTCTACACTTGTCTACACACTTCCATGCTTTGGGATAAATAAACCAAGCTTTGGTTTTATAAGCTGGTCACTATAGGTGACTGCATCTGAAGTCTGCAGTGTTGGAGGATCTTGCTTTAAGCCATTGTGTAGGGAGTGAGCAGCCACCACGGGCTCAAATTGAGTTATTTCTACCCCAGCATTTTGTAAGCGGAGTTAATCATAGTTAGAAATAACAGTAGTTTGAGTATAAAACTCTATACATTTGGAAACTTAAGGTAAATCTCTATCTTAAGCATCTTTTTAAACAGCAGTTACGTGTTTTTATTAAAACTCTGCTTTAATGGTATCTTTAAAATTCAGCATTTAATAGTAATTGTTTTTCCACAGGGGGGAGAATATTAGAAATAAACCTTTAAGAATTCTTAAAAAATAATGGATAAGAGAATTTCTTTATTACAAAATGTAAGATAGAATATACCTCATCATTAGACATTTTAGGACTAGGCCAAATGTTGGTCAAATGCAAACATTGTTTTAAAAAGGGGGGAAATTTAACTATTAATTACTTTTGTGGTATAATTCTAGAAAATCAAGATAAAATCAATTAATTAGAAAACAATATAATGAGTTGTAATTTTACATGATCAGTTTTTTTAATGAATTTAGCCTTAAAATAGACATTTCTTCAGATATGTTAGCATCAGTTTGATTTGTCTCTAGCACATACACAGAAGGTGCTCCTCCCTGTCTGTCCTTCACATGCTTGTGCTGCTGCTTTTCTCTCTGGAGCAAAGAGAAAGCCCTGGAACTGCACCGCTCCAGGGGTCCCGTGTCTGTGGTTGGTGTCTGTGAGTCAGATTGGTCAGCCATCGACCTTTTCTCATGTTCACTCTATGTCACCTTGAGAAACGCATGTGGTAGTGTCTTTACTTACAGTTTCCAGAAAGTGCGGAGCAGCAGTGTAAGGCTAGGGTTGCTAACGCCTGGTAAGAAATGTGTCTGGCCGCATCCTGGCCCTTCCTCATTTCTCACTCCCTCCCCCGCCCTGTTCCATTCCAGGCCTTCCCAAGGACAGTCCTCAGCCTTCTCCCTCCACCCGGAAGAGCCCACTGAGCCTGAGCCCTGTGCTTCAGGTGACGCTGGGCCCAGCCGAGCGGGGCTCGTCCCCACTCCTGAGCCCTGTCCTTAGCGACGCCGGCGGAACCAGGATGGACGAGGAGGAGGAGCCGAAACACAAGGTGGGCACCGCCCCAAGCAGAGGGCTGGGTGCTGGTGGGCCTGGGTTTGCAAACTTCCCTCTGGGCTGGGAAGCCTGTGGGCGGAGCGGGACGGGCCCTTTGCCCACACAGCCCTCCCACCCCAGGCCTCTGAGGGACGATGGTGAGCTGGATTCCCTAGAGAAATCTCGTCTTGAGGTCCTCCTGCCACTTTTGGGGACTCTCTTGGGACCTTTGTAACAGTACCTGGCACCTATGGGCTCCGAGTGTTGGGCTGGGCCCTGGGGATGTGGCAGAAAGGGGCAGGCCCTGGAGGAGCCCTCAGCCCAGGATCGGGGAGGAGGTCTAATGCTCGGGAAGGGTTTTCTGGGGACCAGTCTTGTCGGGATCAAGGGAGTCGGGCTGATGTATAATGGGTCCTGGAGTGTCGATGCAAGGGGAGCGAAGGGATGGGGTGGATTTAGGGTAGAAAGTAGAGGTGATTCCTCAGGGATAGGAGTGGGGCAGGTGCAAAAAGGTGGGATAGAGAGCTCATGGTTCAAGGACAAGGCGATGGCTAGAGGCATTGGCACCCCTGGCCTCGTGGCCACTTCCACTCTTGTGGCCCTGGCCTGCAGCGTGGGCCATGTCCTGGTCAAGGTGGCTCTGCGTGTGAGCACATGAGGAAGGGCAAAGGGCCCAGGGAATTAGACATTGGGGGAAGAGAGTGGTTAAAATAATGGGCTGTGGATTGAGAGGGAGAAGCCAGGAACCATCTATCTGTTCCCCTGCCCTGAGTGGGGGCCCGCCCGAGGTGCACACCTGAAGGAAGCCATGTTGAACTGCTCCGCACGTGGTGGGACCGCGCCCTGCAGGTGCCTGTCCTGTGGGCAGCTGTCATCCAGAACACCTTAGCACTCGTGTGTTTCCTCCTGAATTGTCCAAAGAGCAGACATCTGTTCTTGTGCCGGGGCCCGGGCCTCCGCAGTGACAGCGGCCCTGGGAGGGAAGGCCTGCTGTGTGGGAGGTGTGGGTGCCCCCCGGTGGTCAGGGCTTCGCTGCCAGCCCCCAGCCCTCGGGCCTCCATCTTGGCCACGTTGCTTTGGTGCGGTAACAAAGATGGCTTGGAGGAAAGCTGTTTAAAAAGTAAATTTTAACTTGTCACTTTCTGCATTAATAAAATAGTTGATCTTGAGGTGGTGATCTGTAGGGTGATGACCTCTGACACCTGGCACCTGAGGTTAATTGGGCTAACAGGTGTCTGTGGCCATCGTTATCTAACCAGGCCTCTGAGAGAAGGGACATGGAGGTCTCGGTGCAGCCGCCTCACACAGCGGGACCACCCTCTTCCCTCACACTGCCTCCTGTCTCCCGGCCCTGTGGCCGCGGGATGCTGCGTGTGCCAGGCTACATGTAAAAGCAGCATCAAGCACGGGGGTTCCCGGGTGGCAGGACAGCACTTTCTTCACCTCTGTCCCCTGGGCCACCCCGGGGAGTGACTAGCCGGGTTCTGTGCTGGTTTTGTGAACCAGCGTCCCCTACAAGGCCCGGCCCCCAGGTTCACTGATGACCCCCAGTGGGACCTGGCAGTCTTGGATTCCTCAGCTTCCCCACCAAACAAATGCAGGGGTTGGGAATCTGGGTGTGGCCAGGGCGTTCACGTCTGGCTGTGCAGAGAGGCAGGGCTGTGAGCCTCCCTCAGGACCTCCTGTCCCTCAGGAGCATCCGTGTGGCTTGTTCTCACCAGCGTCTCCCACTTAACGCACTGTTTCTCCTCCTTTCTAATAGAAATTGGTGAGGAACAACAATATTTGAAAGGTACAAAAGCTGAAGGTGGCTGGTGCCTCTCACAGGGGACTGTGCGGGCTGAGAGAAGTGGCCACAGCACCACGCTCAGATCTCGCCGCTTTCCGCGGGGCAGGTGGCAGAGCAGAGCGTGGCAGAAAGCACATCCCCTCCCAGCACCCAGCCTGCGGCAGACCTGTGGGTGGCTGCCTGGCCTTCTCTCCACTGCTGGCTTCCTGAGAGGTTTCTGTGCCCTAGAAATGGGGGTCAGCAATGGAAACGGGAGCCAACCTGACCCCTGACCTTCCTCCTCAAACCTGTCACCTGCATGGTTCAGAGGCTTTTTCCTTTGGCTTTATGCCCAAAACTAACACCCTTGCCTCCTTTGTCCTTCACTCCTCCACCCACACCAGAACTGGACCCTCAGTGTGTCCAGGGTCCCATCCCTCCTCCGGCCATTCCCCTTCCCAGGGTGGGAAGAGGCCTCCTGAAGAGTCCCAACCCCTCCCAGCCTGCACCACCCCAAAATCCCTCCCTGCCTTCCCTGCCAGTAACCTCTTTCCCCTCCCCCTTGACCTCTGACCTGTCTCCCACGTCCAGCTGCCAGCCCCACCCTCTCCCTGGAGGCTGTGGCTGCCTCACTTCCTGCTCTGCTTTGGGCCCAGAGGACTTCTCTCCTGTGCTGGGAATTTCCCCACTAGCCAGGGCCAGGCTGCTTGTCTCTTTCCTGCTGAGATGCTGTCCACTCTGTTCCTGGGCCCGTCTCAGGTGCCTCTTTGGGGCTGGCATGTGCTTCATAGGCATGCTTGCACGGCAGACGTGGGGACAGCCGATCTCTTCGAGATCTCAGCCTGGTGGAGGACAGCACAAGGGCACAGGGATAGAGCGGGACCGGTGTCGTCCAGGCAGGAAGGATGGAGAAGGGGTCATCGAGCCCAAGCGTGAGGCCTGTGCTTTGCCGCAAGCCAGGCATGGGGGGCCTGGGTCCCCAGGGGCGCAGGGCCACCCTTTCTGCTCCTGAGGGTCCCATCAACACCTACACGTGAGGCAGAGGCCCTAATGGGGTTTGGAGCCCCAGCGCGGGGCCATCTCGGGCCCTGCACTCGATATGTGCTGGCCGCCTGGTGCTCACACAGGGCACCGTTAGGATGTATACTGTTGGCAATATCAATGACCTTTTTGTGAGTTAGGCTTAATTGTTATAATTACACGTAGACATATACACACTCTCATGTCTGTGTGTTAAGCAGCTACACTCCTGGCAGTGGTATCTGAACAGTGATTTTATCACAAAACCAATAATTAGCTTCCATATGTTGATGTTTGAACAGCAATTATTTCTCATGAGAAAAACATGTGAAGGAGAAACAACCGGGCTTATACTTTTACTCAGAGGGGAGTGTCCTCAGGAATTACCGACAAACCCTGTGAGATGTTAACCTGAGCAGGAGAAAGCACGCACCGCTGCAGCGGGTCTGACAGGCACGGCTCACCGTCTGCGCCTCTTGCAGGGCCCGGGCGCCGACGAGGCCTACTTCATAGCGAAGGAGATTCTCGCCACGGAACGCACGTACCTGAAGGACTTAGAGGTTATCACTGTGGTATGAAAACTAAGTCTTTTATTCCTTTGATTTTCTTAATATTTTTAAAAATATATTTCATTGATGTTTTTACAGAGAGGAAGGGAGAGGGATAGAGAGCTAGAAACATCGATGAGAGAGAAACATCCATCAGCCGCCTCCTGCACACCCCCTCCTGGGGATGTGCCCGCAACCAAGGTACATGCCCTTGACCGGAATCCAACCTGGGACCCTTCAGTCCGCAGGCAGATGCTCTATCCACTGAGCCAAACCGGTTTTGGCTGATTTTCTTAAATTTTTTTAATATATTTTATTAATTTTTTACAGAGAGGAAGGGAGAAAGATAGAGTTAGAAACATCGATGAGAGAGAATCATCGATCAGCTGCCTCTTGCACACCCCCTACTGGGGATGTGCCTGCAACCAAGGTACATGCCCTTGACCGGAATCGAACCCAGGACCCTTCAGTCCCCAAGCTGACGCTCTATCCATTGAGCCAAACCGGTCTCGGCTAATTTTCTTAATATTTCTTAATCCTAAACCAGAGACAGAGGAGCCCTCCCAAGAAATACTTCTCAGCCATCATGAGATCTATATGTACATGTTCTGTGAAATACATCTAAAGAATGTCTCAGTCGGGCCAGAATATTGGGTCCGTTTTTTTTTATAAAACTGGGAATAGAGCCACTTGAAGCTTTTCATCCAGAATGGTTCTCTTGTGACATTGGGGAAACCTGGTGGCCGGTCAGGAGGACAGCCATGGCATGTGACCCGTCCTCAGGGGACTCGGTCAGCACGGCTGTCCCGTGGCCACAGCCCGGGTGGCCCTCAGGCCCCGCGCTCGGCTCTTCCCGCAGTGGTTCCGCAGCACCGTGGTCAAGGAGGACGCCATGCCTGCAGACCTGATGACGCTGCTCTTCTCCAACATCGACCCCATCTACGAGTTCCACAGGGGCTTCCTGTGTGAGGTGGAGCAGAGGCTGGCACTCTGGTAACGCCCGCGCCCGCCCCCCTCCCCCGCTGCCCCCTCCCTCACCATCACCCCTCTCCCCCACCGCACACATGGCCGCCCCTCATCACCACCACTGCTCAGACGCTAATTCACCAGTCATCGCTTCACTGGAGTCTATTTTTAAAACGTGTGATAATCACGTTTATTCATCCCATTTCAGAAGACTGAACAAGGTTGTTAAAAGTATCATAGATGGTTCTATTTTTTCTTAGTCACTGTCTGTTAGAGAATGGCCCACAAGTAAAGATGGCTCCTGTCAAGCACAGGCCTCCCACCTCCAAGGAGCTCGCTGCTGCTGTCCTGGTCGTGCTGGACAGACAGCTGGCCCACGAGGGGTCCTGAGGTGTGACTGTATTTGTCCGTCTCTGCTGCAGGGAAGGACCTTCCGGGGCCCAGGCCGCAGGCAGCCACCAGCGAATCGGGGACGTCCTGCTCCGGAACATGCACCAGTTAAAGGTAGCGACTCGGGCAGCACAGTGTTCCCTCAGGGCCGCGTCCCCTGGGAACAGCTCTCACCTCAGAGCTGCTTCCCCTAAGGACAGTCTCCCCAACAGCACCCCTCACTGCAGCGCCCCCTCCTTCCACCACGTCAGGATGGAATTCCAGTGCCCAGCCTCCCCTCCAGGCAGCGCGGTCAGGACAGGGCTCCATTCAGAGGTCCTTCCTCGGAGCCAGGCCCCTCAGAGAACCCCTCGCCTCGGAGCAGCCTCAGGGGACGTGTGCTGGGAGCTGGATTCGCCCGGGCCCTGAGCCCGGGCCTAGGGGCTGTTGTTGCTGAGCTTGCCGATAGGGTACGCAGGGCCTGTCCGGGGCTGTTAGGGTTTGCGTCCACTCTCCTCTGGGCTCGTCGTTCAGGGGTTTTCTTCAGAGCCATCAGAGGTTCGTGAAGAAAACGTGCCAAGGAAAGCCCGGACGGACTGGCTGTCGGAACCCGCTCAGCAGCGTGGCGGCCACGGGAAGCCCTCTGGGGGGGCGGGGGGGCCGGCCACCGCAGGCGTTGGACCCCGCGGCTGTGCTTTCACTGCGCAGGGTCCTGTGGTGCTGATCGGTCTGGGACGGGCCTCTCCCGCCCACACATCTGTCCCGGAGCTCTCGCACCCGGCCCGTCTCTACCCGCTCACGTCACTCCAAGACCCCGAGCCTTCTCTGTGGGGCCCATTCACTGGGAGGTGGCACCTCCATCCCAGACCTGTCCCACCTCCCCCCAGTCCGCCCCACCTCCCCCCAGTCCGCCCCACCTCCCCCCAGTCTGCCCCACCTCCTCCCAGTCCGCTTCACCTCCTCCCAGTCCGCTTCACCTCCCCCCAGTCCGCCCCACCTCCCCCCAGTCTGCCCCACCTCCTCCCAGTCCGCCCCACCTCCTCCCAGTCCGCTTCACCTCCCCCAAGTCCGCCCCACCTCCTCCCAGTTCGCTTCACCTCCTCCCAGTCCGCCCCACCTCCTCTCAGTCCGCCCCACCTCCTCCCAGTCAGACGCCCCACCTCCTCCCAGTCCGCCCCACCTCCTCCCAGTCAGACGCCCCACCTCCACCCAGTCCGCCCCACCTCCTCCCAGTCCGCCCCACCTCCTCCCAGTCCGCCCCACCTCCCCCCAGTCCGCCCCACCTCCCCTCAGTCCGCCCCACCTCCTCCCAGTCAGACGCCCCACCTCCTCCCAGTCCGCCCCACCTCCTCCCAGTCCGCCCCACCTCCTCCCAGTCCGCCCCACCTCCTCCCAGTCCGCCCCACCTCCCCCCAGTCCGCCCCACCTCCACCCAGTCCCCCCGACTTCCCCCCAGTCCGCCCCACCTCCTCCCAGTCCGCCCCACCTCCTCCCAGTCCCCCACCCCACCTCCTCCCAGTCCGCTTCACCTCCTCCCAGTCCGCCCCACCTCCTCCCAGTCCGCCCCACCTCCTCCCAGTCCCCCACCCCACCTCCTCCCAGTCCGCTTCACCTCCTCCCAGTCCGCCCCACCTCCTCCCAGTCCGCCCCACCTCCCCCCAGTCCGCCCCACCTCCACCCAGTCCCCCCGACTTCCCCCCAGTCCGCCCCACCTCCCCCCAGTCCGCCCCACCTCCCCCCAGTCCGCCCCACCTCCTTCCAGTCCGCCCCACCTCCTCCCAGTCGGCCAGGCTCCTAGGTCCTTCCGCCCGTGCGGCTCCCAGACCCCTGAGGGGCCACAGGACCGCTCACGCTGCCTTCAGAGAGCGCTGCTGCCCAGAGCCCTCTTACCCCCACACATTTTGGTTTTCTGAGCCAGGCTCATGAGTAAGTGTTACCACCTGTCCCGAAAGCCTTACAAAAATGTTAAATCAAAATATATATAAATCTGTTTGATTGGGCTTATACCACACAAGTCACATGTAATGTTCATTAAAACAAACTGATTGAATATTAGAAACTTCTAGAAGGTAGGGACTAGTTGAGTTTAGTATGACTGAAACACTGCCAGCCCGTACATGTATGCACTTGGTGTGTGACGGTGTCAGGAGTGACCCTCCCTCTCTGGTAAGTGGGTTGAACATGCTTTGCCCGCCCGAGGCGGGGAGCTCCCTGCTGTCACCTGAGGCGACAGCCCTCTCAGCCTGGCGCTTCATCTGTGGTCCTCCCTGCACTTGAGGTTTGAGGGCAGTCAGCAGCGAGGGGGTGCTTTCTGCTGGTGTGAGGTTGGGTTGGGGTGGAGTCTCCGATGGGGCTGGAGGAGCCCCAGGAAGGCTGGACACCAGCTGGTATGCTCTGGCCATTGTCCTCTGTGCTGCCCCATCGGGGTGTCCAGCCGGGGTGTGACGTCCACACTGGAGAGCCGTCCAGACCGGCCACTCCCAGCTGGACTCCCTGTCCAGGGCCCTGACCTAACGAGCCCTGCTGTGCCTCCACAGCAGTTCACCGGCTGCTTCCAACGGCACGACGAGGTGCTGACAGAACTGGAAAAGGCCACCAAACGCTCCAGGAAGCTGGAGACCGTGTACAAAGAGTTCGAGCTCCAGAAAGTCTGCTACTTGCCTCTCAACACGTTCTTGCTGAAGCCCATCCAGCGACTGGTGCACTACCGCCTGCTGCTGCAGCGGCTGTGCGGGCACTACGCACCTGGGCACCAGGACTACGCCGACTGCCGCGGTGAGTGGGGCTGCCCTGCCAGGAGGAGCCGAGGGAGGAGCAGCATTGGCAAACCTGCAGCTTGAGCTCCCTTATTTGGGAAGCTCAGGCTGTGCGCTCCCCCAGGAGAGCCACGTCTGCAGGGGCAGAGCTGGCACTGCCCACGCTCCTCCCCAGCTGACAGAGGCCAGCAGGCCCTGGGTCTGCACAGGCCAGGGCTGCCCGCCAGCCCCCCTGCCTTTCCCTCTCCAAATCAGAGCCAAGTGAAAGGCTCCGATCGTCCAGGAGGAGCCCCCACGAGTGCAGTGGGGGTGGATTGACCCCTAGAGGGACTGCTACCTGGAGGTATTTCTGTTCTGCAAGCCTTGACGCTAAAACTCAAACATTTGGTCCAGGGTGGGGTGGCCTGTTAGAAGTTTCTGTCATAGACGGACTTTATCATGTGTGTGTGTGTGTGTGTGTGTGTGTGTGTGTGTGTGTGTGTTAAAGGAACAAAAGGATAAACCCTGACCTTTTTAACCTACAATATCACTTCTAGTTGTAGGATAAATTTAATGCATGAAGTTACTCACTGTAGGATTTTACCAGTAAATTCACCATCATCATTACAAGTAAGATAAAAGACTAGCACTACTTCTAGCTGGTCTCCCATAGTCATAAATGGGTAAATAAGATGCTTTCTGATGAATGAGAAACAAAATGGATTACTCTCTTCTTCATTTTAACAGCAAGTGTTTCATGTTTGCTACAAAGGAAAAGACAAAATTGTCAAAAATGTTTCTAAGCGTTTTCAGGGAAATAAAAAAGTGCAGCACATTTAAAATGCCGCCTTGCTGGCCTCTGCCAGCCTTTTCCTGCGGGGGGGGCGGGGGGGGGGAGTGCTAAGAGGAGAGGGTGGCCCCTCTCCAGGACATCTGGGAGGCCAGGCCCATGGAGAGGGCCGGGCGCCCTCACTACTCAGGTCCCTCATCAGTAAAGCCATCTCATGGGCTGATACAAAAGCTAAACGAGGCTGCACTTGTGGAAGTGCTTTGTAAATCATTGACCCAACATGGTGCCAACAACTGGCACCTGGACGGGTTTGCTTCAGCCGTCTCTGGAGGGCTCAGCTGGTGGAGTCCCTTCCCACCACGACCCACCCACTCACAGGGCCAAGGAAGAAGGCCGCCTGGGGTGTAGATGTTACCAGCCCTTTCGGTCTTCCCAAGAGCTGAACTTGAACCTGTTGGACAAAAGGAGAAACCTCTAGGCTGGGACTTAGAGAAGATGGCCTTGCATCTTAGTTTTATCCTTCATTCAATAAGGGTTTCCCAAGGGCTGTGCCTGGGCTGGCCAGGTGCTAAGTGTGTATTGATGGTTTGTCAACATCATGCTGGTTCCGTGGAGACCCAGGCACAGGGTAGTACTGTGTCCAAGCACATCCCCAGCATCTGGCAGCTTCTAGTTTCAGCCCAAGGGCAATGTGGCGCCCACATGGCATTCAAACCTTCCAGCCCTGCACTCCATGCACACACAGTGTCCAAGGGCAAGGTGGCACTGGGTGCCATCCAGGGCAGACACGTGGGGCCAGACAGCCTCCAGTGAACAAGCAGAGGGAAGAGTCTCTGCCAACAGTATGTCACTCAGATCTGAGCTGGGCCCTGGGGGCCTGCGAGGCGAGAGAGGGGCCAGAGCTCAGGAGTCTGCACAGAGCAACTGCAGGTGTCCGCCTTGTGTTAGCATCACCAGGGCTCTTATAATGGCTCATTTGTGAATGAGTAATTCATCTCCCCTTGTCTGACTTCATCCTCCTGAAGCTTCGGGGCAGGTACTGGGGAGCCAGCACTCACAGACCTCCACTGACCAGACTCATGGAGCTGGAGCTGAGAAGGCGCAGAGTTGGGTGGGGTGGATGTCACCTGTGCTTGCTGGGACCTCGAGGGGCAGTGGGCAGGCAGTCAGTGGGGTCCTCATGAGAAGATAGCAGGCCCCCATCAGTGGTTGAAACAAGGAGTCAAGGAAGATGTGGTCCCTGCTTGTGGGCCAAGCAGCTGCTCCCAGTGTGTCTTGGTCAGGTCTCTGAAGACCACTCTCAATATCTGAGTTTGTGTTTCATCTGAATATGTTTTCCTGCCGAAACCGGTTTGGCTCAGTGGTAGAGCGTCAGTCTGCGGACTGAAAGGTCCCAGGTTCGATTCCGGTCAAGGGCATGTACATTAGTTGCGGGCACATCCCCGGTAGGGGTTGTGCAAGAGGCAACTGATCGATGTTTCTCTCTCATCGACATTTCTGGCTCTCTATCTCTCTCCCTTCCTCTCTGTGAAAAATCAATAAATATATATTTTTTTAAAATGAATATGTTTTCCTTCTTGATTCTAAATTTTCTTTTTCTTTTTTTTTTTATTCTAAATTTTCATAACTTGGCTTGAACTATAAGATTATCATCTGCACCTCCATTCAAGGAGAAAATTGCAAATACTTTGAAGGTGCAAATTATTTAGACTTTAAACTACAGTAAATGATTTTCCCTAAAGAACAAATACTGCTTTGCCTGTAACATTAGTTATTTACAAAGAAAAACTGTTCTTTCTCTTGACCACATCTGAGTGTTGGCTAGTCAGTAGTTTGGGCTGAACAAATTCAAGTGGTTTTTTTTTGTTGTTTTTTTTTAAAATATATTTTATTGTTTTTGTACAGAGAGGAAGGGAGAGAGACAGAGAGCTAGAAACATCGATGAGAGAGAGTCATCGATCAGCTGCCTCTTGCACACCCCCCACTGGGGATATGCCCGCAACCAAGGTACATGCCCCCGACCGGAATCGAACCCGGGACCCCCCAGTCCCCAAGCCGACGCTCTATCCACTGAGCCAAACCGGACCTGGCCAAATTCAAGTTTTGGTTCATCTGCAGGAACTTGTGCCATGGCTATGGGTGGAGTTGGAGTAGAATGTTCCTTGAATTAAAACTGCCTTTTTAAATGCCAGTTCTGGCCCAGCCGGTATGGCCCAGTGGTTGAGCGTTGACCTATGACCAGGAGGTTGCAGTTCGATTCTGGTCAGGGCACATGTCTGGGTTGCAAGCTTCATTCCTAGTAGGGGTTGTGTAGAAATAAGCTGACCAAAGATTCTCTCTCATCATTGATGTTTCTTTCTCTTTCTCTCTTTCCTTCCTCTCTGAAATCAATAAAAATATTTTTAATAAAAAATAAATAAATGCTAGTTCTACCCTGGCCACTGTAGCTCAGCTGCTTGGAGCATCTTCCCTTACACCAAAAGGTCACTGGTTTGATTACCAGTCAGGGTACATACCCAGGTTTCAAGTTCAATCCCCAGTCAAAGCAAGTATGGGAGGCAATTGATGGATGTTTCACTCTCGCATCTGTGTTTCTCTCCCTCTCCCTTCCTCTCTCATCTGAAATTGATAGAAGCATGTCCTTGGGTGAGGATTTAAAAAAACAAAATTCCAGTTCCTATCGCAAAGTGGTGCCAGTGGGGGAACAGGGCAGTCTGTGCCCACCGGCCTGGTGCCGGTATTGAGGGGTCTCTCCACACAGATGCCCTCCAGGTCATCACGGAAGTGACCTCCATACTACAGCACAGCCTCGTCCGCCTGGAGAACCTCCAGAAGCTGACGGAGCTGCAGCGGGACTTGGTTGGCATAGAGAACCTCATCGCTCCAGGCAGGGTAAGTGACTCAGAAGGTTTTTGAGCTGTTTACTTCATTGTTTTGGTTGAGAAATAACTCACATACCACAGAATTCACCCTTTCAACGTGTGCAGCTCAATTTTCCTCAATGTGGAACTCATGGCTTCGTCACTATGGCTGAACTTTCCAGAAGCTTCTCAGTAAGAGCAGTACGCTTTGCTTTGTATGACAGCCTGGTGTAGCCAGCCAGCTGTAGGGTGCTCAGCAGATGGTTTGGAGACTGAGTTAATTGGCACCCAGACCGGCCTCGGGTGACCATGAGGAGCAGACAGGAAGGAGGAAGGCAGAAAGGTGCGGAAGGTCCTTGAACATTGGGGCAGGAGGGCACCGGTGAAGTGCTGGATGGGGCTGTGAGGGGCTCATCCAAAGGCTCAGAGAAGCACACATGGTAACATCAGCCAGGCCCCGGCCCCCCCAGCGTGCTGTCTGCTGAGGCGGCTGTGGGCCCACGCAATGCAGACCTCAATGCTGTCTTTCAGGAGTTCATCCGTGAGGGCTGCCTTCACAAGCTCACCAGGAAGGGCCTGCAGCAGAGAATGTTCTTTCTGGTAGGTGGATGGGCAGCAGTTGTGTTAGGGGGGCTATGCCAGCGCGTTGGGCCAGGTGGGCAGCCTCAGAGTCAGACAGGAGCCACGTGAGGGTCACAGAACACACTCCTGGCCAGTGGCCGTCCTGATTCTGTCTGTGGATGAGCAAAGCCAGCGCTTAGAAAATTCACGTGCCTGTGGCTGCAGGGGTGTCCGCCCTGCCGAGCTGCCAGCTTTGACTCTGGGAGCTGAGGCCCTTCCAGCCAGTCCCTGCTGCCACCAGCTTTCCTATCACCCACTTCTTCCTCATATCCAGTTAGATCCAGACCTCAGCATCCTGTATGAGGGGTGACTGGGCCAAGGATGTCTGCTGGTTTGTGTGGTTCCTAGTTGCTTCTAGTCAAAAACAATTGTCTGAATGAAATAAAAGTCCCTTTTGCGCCAGAAATCTCCAGCAAGCTGAATAGACTTGATAACACCATAGAGCTAGAGTTGAAGTTCATCTGACAGTCCCAACCCTGTTACTTGTTTCTTAAATGATTTATCTAAAGCTGCCTGGCTCAGTTCTCAGATATGTTGCTGTACACAAGCAGAGGAGTCTCGGGAACCAGCCACTTCCGGATCCGGGGTCTCCTCCCGCTTCATGGCATGCTGGTGAGTGCTGGGATTCAACTGGCTACCTTAAAGCACCTGTTGGTCTGTTTCTATCTGTTGTGGTTATTGTTTTTGGTGCTCAAACAGCTGCCCTGCAGCCCCTTCAGACTCAACCCTGGGGACCACCACCAGCACCTGCAGGACAAGCCCCCAACTCACCTTGTCCACCTGCCCCCCCAGAGTGGGAGGTGCGATGAAAGACCCCAGGCAGGCGCTGGGGCCACTTAGCTGCTGGAGGGGTAGGAGCTGACACAGGTTTTGAAAGACAAAACCAAACCCCCAAATCTTAAGACTGTAGCGTTTCTACTTCTTTGATTTGTATCTTTTATATTGACAATTTTGGTCCTGCATGGCATCATTAGTTATCACACACACACACACACACACACACACACACACACACACACGGATACACACCTCGCTTTAATACAGTCAGATGTGCTCTGGCCAGGTGGCTCAGTTGGTTGGAGTGTTGTCCCATATACCAGAAGTTTGTGGGTTCAATTCCCGATCAGGACACATACCTAGGTTGCAAGTTCAACCCCCGATCAGGGTGTGTGTAGGAGGCAACCAATCGATGTATTTCTCTCCCACATACACCTCTTCCTCTCTCTAAAATATATCCGTGGTATCCTTGGATGAGGATTATCTATAATAATAAAAGGGTAATATGCTAATTAGACTAGGTGACTGGATATCTTCTGGATGCCTGACTTCCTTCCGGACAGTTAGGGGGCAACCAGGGCAACCAGGCCAGCAGGGGGACAGTTGGGGGGTGACTAGGCCAGCAGGGGGCTGTTGGGGAGGGGCGGCCAGGCCAGCAGGCAGGCAAGCGGTTAGGAGCCAGAGGTCTTGGATTGTGAGGGATGTCCCTGATTGGAGAGAGTGCAGGCTGGGCTGAGGGACCACCCCGACCCCCACCTCCCCCCCACCTCCCCACCCCCCGCAGTGCACTAGGCCTCTAGTTAAAAATAAAAAGCACGCTACCACTGATGGGGAAGCTATGGGCTGGAGAAGCCCCCAGTGAGCTGGAGCCTGGCTTCTTTCCTCTGAGTCCGGTGTGAGGTCCCTGCAGTAGTCTCTTATGTGGCATCCAGCTTGCCCTTTGCCCTTTCACCTCTGTTTCCACTCTGTTGTTGCTGGCCGGGGCTGTTAGGGATCCTGCTGTCCCCACCTTGTCCAGTGTGTCCCCATCCCTACTGTCACAGCTGTAACATGACACTTGTAATTCTGATGAACAGAAATTCTTCATATTAATGTAATCCGGTTGTTAGCTGCCTCCTTTGTGGTCAGTACTTTCTGTGGCCTGATGAGAGACCTTCATTTGCCTTCCGTGTAAGTGTGCACTCAGCCTGGAACCCACGTGTAGGAACGGTAAAGAGAGGCCACGGTTGGATCCAGAGCATCTGATTGCAGCGAGTCTCTCTCCCGGAGGCCCCCGCCAGGCCTCCCTCCAGGGGTCCGTGGGTGGGATCCGTGGGTGGGTGCCTGGCTCTGTCGTGTCTGGCCTGCTGTCTCGATTTCTGCAGCTCATCTTCCAAGGTGTCTTGCCTTTCCTGGCCCTCAGGGTGCCTCCACTCTCAGCAAGGAGGATCGGTTTGAAAGAGCTCACCTGTCGTTACTGGAAGCAGACCCCCCGTTTTCATAATCTTTCATTATAGAAAAAAATAACTGAAAATATAAAATGAAAATTAGTCACAATTTTACCACCCAGCAATAAGCACTGTTGGAATTTTGCAAAAGACCCTTCCAGCTTCACATATCAATCGAGGTATTTTGCTGCCACAGTGGACTCACTTTTCCAAGCTGTTTTGTGGCCTGCAGTTTTGCTTAGTGATGCGTCATGAACGTGCCCTTGTGTCCTCTGTGCTCCCACCACCTCCTCAAGTGGAGGTGAGAGGAAATGAACGCACAGTGGGGAGCCGGCCCATTGACTTGACTGATTCGCTATTCTGCACATTCCAGCTGCATCTAGCATTTCAGAATTAGAAATAGCACCATTGTGTGCCTCTCCACACCTCAACCACATCCTTGAAATAAATCCCAAAAGGCGCTGTTTGGACACAGGGTGCCATTTCCCATGAGTGTTGCTGCTCCGTGGCTGTCGGAGCACTTGCAACAGTGGACATCCACTGAGCACATCTGAGGCTGCACCGTCTGCACGGCCTGGGGAGCACTGGGGATTCACCCTCATCTTTTCCAGTTTGGCGAGTGGAGCGCCCTGGGATGTCAGGGAGGCTCGCTGGGTCCTTGTTTCCTGGCACTCCCTCTGGGAGGCATTCATATCTATCACTCTGGTCTCCATGATGTTAGCTTTTCATGCACTTTTGTGACACTTATTATAAGAGGCAAGCCAACCCTCAGAAAAGCATTCCCCAGCTAGTAACGCCTTTTTACTTTGCCTGCAGTTTGGTTTTACCTTGTAGAATTGAAACCCATCTGGACAGGGATTGTGCTTGTCTTGTTCCTAGAACAGTCTGTGGCACAGTCTTGCTGAAGGAGTGAACTTAAGACTCTGTGGTCAGATCTGCCATCTTTTCCTTTAGGGTTCCTGTCCTCGGTGTGGGCTCAAAAAGTCCCTTCCATGCCCAGGTTATATTGGCACCTTGTGCCATGGTATGGGGACTTCTTGTTTTCTGGTACATTTATGATGTCATTTTTCTCATTCAATTAATCTACCTAAAACATTTCATTGGATGTTATTAGATTGGGACTCATTTTCTGCCCATATAATCAGTTTTCCCCTTATTCATTGGACCCTTCATATTCTGATTTCGAAGGCTGCCTTGACCATAAAAACAGCCCTTGTTTTCACACTTGGGCTCTTTCTGGGCATTTTCTGTGTTTCTCATCAGTCCACACTCTTCTAATTTAGGGTGTTATATGTTACAGTCAATGTCAGGAGAATAAGTTGCATCCCTCATTTGTCCTTTTTAAAAAACTTTTTTGCTATTTTTACGTATTTAATTCTTCCAGAAAATTTTTAATAATCTGGACAGATTCATTCAAAAAACACCATTGAGGTTTCTCTTGAAATTGTATTGCCGTCATATGCCACATAATGATGGGGATATGTGTTTCGGAAATGTGCCATGCTGTGATTTTGTCATGTGAATATCAGAGCACACCTGCACAAACTTAAATGGCTCAGCCCACTACACACCTCGGCTGTATGATCCAGCTATTGCTCTTGGGCTATAACCTACACAGCATGTTACTGTATTGAATGCTGTATCTAAACATAGAAAAGATACTATAAAAATACGGTATTAAAAAATAAAAGTGGAAAAAATATAAAAAATTGTATATCTGAATGGAGCACTTACCATGAATGGAGATTATAGGACTGCAAGTTGCTCTGGGTCCGTGGGCAGTGAGTGAACGTGAGGGTCTGGGACATCACTGCACACAACAGTGGACTTCATAAACCCTGTACACTGAGGCTACCCTCAATTTATAAAACACGATTTTAAATCAAGCACAAGAGAAAATGATGACATTAAGAGACACGGTAAACACAAGATATATGAGGGTGCCGCCGATGTAACACAGCTGTTTTATAATAAACTGCTTTTTAATCATAGAAAGAGTATACTCTAAAACAATGATGAAAATGATATTAAATACATAAGCCAGTGACATAGTTTATTAAGTATTACATACTATACATAACTGTATTACTATACTTTTATATGACTGGTGTCAGGTTTATTTACACCAGCATCACCACAAACTCATGGGTAATGTGTTGTGGTAGGACAGTGATTGGCAAATTCATTAGTCAACAGAGCCAAATATCAACTGTACAATGATTGAAATTTCTTTTGAAAGCCAAATTTTTTTAAACTTAAACTTCTTCTAATGTCACTTCTTCAAAATAGACTCACCCAACCCATGGTATTTTGTGGAAGAGCCACACTCAATGGGCCAAAGAGCCGCATATGGCTTGAGAGCCGCAGTTTGCCGACCACGGTGCTAGGACATTATAACCACTAGGTGATAAGAATTTTTCAGTTCTATTATAATCTCATAGGACCACTGTCATATATACTTGTTGATGGAAGTGATATATGGCAATTAACTTTAAAATTACATTTTAACTTGGGAGTATACCAACAGCTTCACAACCTCCTGCTACTGGTCATTGCTCATGTTAATTTTAGATTTTGTATGTCCAATGTTAGGCTCTGTGGTTGGCATCCTGTAGGCCCTGCACAGGGAAGCTGTCTGTTCTATGGGGTGATGTGTAATTTGGCTGAACCTAGGGAAGGATGATGACTCTTGGCTTGAGAAACAGAACCATTATCATGTTAAGTTTCTTTCTGATTCGAAGAAATATCAGAAATAATATCATGGACTTTAGCAAAGTTCTTTTGAGCATTTAGAGAAATGATCACTATTTTCCCTTTGATGTTGTGACAAAGTTACTGCTATTATCACCTCCTAATGTCAAACCATCCTTGCATTCTTAGAACAACCTTACTTGGTCACAGGATAGTTTCTGTCTGCTTTTAGGCTTGGCTAGGAATATTTTATTTTTAAGTTCTTTCATTTAGTTATTTATAACTGAGATTACTCTGTATTGGTTTTTTGAATCTAACTTTGTTAGGTTTTGGTACCAAGTTTACAAAATGAATTGTCCAACTCCCTATTTAATAATGATAATGCTCAACACTTTCTCCTGTGCTTGATTTTCAGCTAATAGTACTGGACCCACCGGTGAGTAGTTGGGTGCCCTGTGGCCCACAGCTTACCCACCTGGGTGGCAGGTGCCATGGTTGGGGACCCCTTATGCCTCCCATAGCCCCCTGTAGAGTCAGCGTAGACTTGGACAGCACAGAATTTTCACATCACCTGTGTTATGCTTCAAGCTTGTGTCAGCCAGCCCCGGACCTGGCCCAGACTTCTACCTCTTCTCCCACCCACAGGTAGAAGCAAGCAAGAGTGAGTGGTCCGTTCCACACTGTTTTACTATTTATGCAGCTCAAAAAACAATCGTGGTGGCAGCCAGGTAAGAACCTTTCACACCTGGATCCCAGTGGGCCCTGCGAGCCAGGAGTAGGGGCTTCCCTGCCATGAGCTAGAGTTCCCTCTGAGTGATGAGTGTCATTCCCACAGTTCGGAGTGATGTGTGCCCCTTGAGCACTGCTCTCCAGTGGTGGGGAGCCAGAGAACGTCCCACAGACTGGCCATGGCACTGCCAAGCGGCTTCCTGCGCCTCAGGTTCATGGCCCTCGACAACAACAGGCCTGCGAAGACTGTCGGTCTCCAGGGGCACAAGCTTTTGGCACACTCAAGTTAAGGCACAGTGCCAGCGGGTTAGTGGCAGCACGACAGGGCGGCCAGGCTGGGGCCCCTCCTCACCTGCATCCTGGCCCCTAGCTGTGCAGCGAGGCTGATGGGCCACAGCTCAGGGGCAAATGGCCACTTTCCCCTGTTCCACATCAGATCAACAGAGGGGCAGCCCGACCTCTGTCGCACCATCTGTGCTGTCCCTCCCCTGGAGGAGCCAAGTGACTCCCGACAGTTCATCCTTCTCTCAGGCAGGCATCCACTAGCTCCCACCAGGAAATGGTGATCCAGGAAGCAACTAATCTTGTACCTGAGACTTTTAAAACCTTGTTTTAGAAGAAAACTACCCTGTAGGGAACCCCAGTCCACACACGGGTGCTGCCCTCCCTCCTCCTGCCCCTGGCAGCCCACAGAGGGGTGCAGGCTGGGCCACCAGCAGCAGCATTCCTGATCATCCTTTGATCCCTTGAGACAGGCATCCTGGCCTCCTGTCCCCTGATTGTGCAGGCCCTGCGCCTCAGCCCTCCCTCCCGTCCCTCCTCTCCCCACAGCACTCGGCTGGAAAAGGAGAAGTGGATGCATGACCTGAACAACGCCATTGAAGCGGCCAAGAGCAGTGGCAACACAACTCTGGCTCTGCCAGGCGGCGCAGTGTGCATTCCTCCCCGCAGTGAGTTCCGAGAACCCCTGCACGAGGAAGCTTTCCCATAAATTGTTTCCTCACTCATGTTCTGCCCACTAAGCCCACGTGCTCAAGTTCCAGGTAGAAGGGTGGGCTTTGCTCTTGGCCTGGGCACAAAGGAATAGCTCCCTTGCTCTCAGAGCTCCATTCGCCAGGGTGGTCCTATCCCCTCTGAGCAGAGATGCCCGATTTCTGCCCCAGGACCTTCCGATGAAGTCTCTGTGGAGCAGGAGTCAGAAGATGATGCACACGGTACCCACAGCTCCTCGGAGGGGCAGGGCCAGCACCGGGCCAACACCACGGTGCATGTGTGCTGGTACCGGAACACCAGTGTCTCCAGAGCCGACCACAGCGCAGCCGTTGAGGTATAACTCACACGAGCACCCTCTCAGCTTGTGCTTGCTGGGGGAAGGGACCCTGGGGATCCCAGGCGGCAGGCCTGGGCCAGGCCATGGCGAGCTGCCTCCCGCTCTCTCTTCGGGCAGGAAATTGGCTTGGAAAAGTCCCCTCAGGCACAGCAGCCCAGGGTTTTTGCCAGAGCTGTGGAGTGACAGTCACCCTCAGAGTCATCCTCAGGACTTGAGCAACCCAGTGAGGAAAAAACTCAGAGCCACGTGTGCGGGGAAGAACAGGGAAACTGGTGTCTCCAGGGTGCTCCCAACAGGGCCTGTCACTAGGAGTCGCTGCTTCCACCTCCACCATCAGGAGCACCCCACACACACCTCTCAGGGGCGCTGTGAACAGAAGTGTCCCCTGAGCCTGAGCAGCTCAGCCATCTGTGCTATCCTGTGGGTGCCTGCTTGGTGGTGAAGGCCACAGATGTGTCAGAACCTGTGTTCCTCATGGTGAGGTTATAGGAAAGAAGTGTGGTACCAAGGAGGGTGGGGGTGCAAAAGGAGGGGGCACTGCAGAGAGGGGTCTGCCCTAGGCCAGGGCTCCCAACTTACCTCAGCACAAGAGCGGCTCAGTCCTAAGGCTGAGCTTGGGCCAGGGTTACAGCATCCTCCCTGGTGCGAGGGCATTTGTGAGGACTGTAGGTGTGGGGGGTTGGGGGGAGCTGGCTGTATTCTTGGGGAGCACACCTGCTCCCAGGAGACCCCAAGAGGATGAAGCCAGGAGGGTGATTGCTCTTGATGGGCTGTGGTCTTAGGACCTTAACTAAAGCACTTTTGCTTTTTTCCTTTTAGAACCAGCTTTCAGGCTATCTGCTAAGAAAGTTCAAAAACAGTAATGGCTGGCAGAAGCTCTGGGTGGTCTTCACCAATTTCTGCTTGTTCTTCTACAAAACACATCAGGTGAGGGTGCTTACCAGCCCAGAGAGCCTGCCCGTGGCGCTAGAGGACCCACCATGCCCTTCTCTCTCACTTCAATCTCCTTCCCCCACCAGGGGGGGAGGAGAGGTGGCTGGGGAATGCCCATGGAACCATGCTGCCTTCTAGGATGACTATCCCCTGGCCAGCCTCCCCCTGCTGGGCTACAGTGTGAGCGTCCCCAGGGAGGCTGATGGCATCCACAAGGAGCATGTCTTCAAGCTGCAATTCAAATCACACGTTTACTTCTTCCGGGCCGAGAGCAAGTACACGTTTGGGAGGTAACTGTGGTGGACTGCCTGGTACTCCTGCTCCCGCTGGGGGCTGGAGGCAAGTTCCTGGTGCTGGGAAGAAAGGGCTGCACCTGGCTTCCTGGGGTTTCACTGGCCTTGTCTTGTCCCATTCACTCCACATCTTGGGAAGGTATTTGAGCACAAGCCAGGTGGCCAGAAAGTGCCTTCCTTCCCAAGCGGGCATCCTGGCCTTTCTGATGGGACAACTCCTTCTGCAGGTGGATGGAGGTGATTACGAGAGCCAGCAGCTCGCCCGGAAAGGCTGGGGGCCCTGAGGAGGCATGAAGCCTTCTGCCTAGTTTAGGACAGCGCCCAGGAAGCAAAGCACAGTCAGCGCACGACTGCTCATCCTGAGTCTTCCCAACAACGGACCAGCTGTTTGGATGGGCCTCACCGAGCCACCTGGGAAGGACACTGTTCCCTGGAAGACCCAGTGCAGTCCGTTGGCCCCGTGGGGCCCTGGCAAGAACACCAAAGTGGAAATGCAGGTCCAGCCCCAGGGTGGCACCAAGCTGGTGCTCACCTACCCTCTCCTCTTCTAGAACAGGGCCCTGCTGAGAATGGCTTTGAGCAGAACTAGGGTGGCTCCGAATCACCCACTGCTGAACCCGGGCCTGGCTGCCCTGTCCTTCAGCCTGGATCAACCAGGGGTAAGACACAAGCCTCAGGTCACAGCTGCACAAAAGCCCAGCATAAGCCACTCTGGTGCCCCTCACATACCTCCGGAGAAGGGGAAACCAAAGTTCCGTTTGGCCCTGGTAGGGCGAGGGCCTCTAATTTATTAGTACCCAGTTTTTCTTAACAAGTGGAAGTAGAGGTACACCTGCTTGTGTGTGTGGCTGAAAATAAAGGGCATCTTTCTTCGCCTGCCTGCTCAGTCTCGGGTCACTCCAAGGGGGAGACAGGGCTGTCGAGACCCTGCCTGGCCCGGATCCCCACCCACCACCAGTCCGTCTTCATTTAAGGTCTTTATTGAAAGTGGCAGAAGCCTCTCAATATCCTATGAAAACTAACACCTTAACCTCAGAGTATAAGGGGAAACAAGGAAGTTCGGTTTTCTTAAACAAAAGAAACATCCTGGCTGACACTCTTACTTTGAGAAGACACGGTACCCGACCCAACACCACAAGGCAAATCGACAACCACTGTGGGCCCTGGGTGGGGACGGGGGCCTGGGTGAGTGGGAGAAGGCTGATCTGCCCAACAGCTTCCCCACCTCAGTTCCAGTGGCCACCATCCTGTGAGCCTAAGGAGGGGGCGGCTATGCCAAGGGGAGCTGAGGAGGCTGCCCCTGCCGCCTCCAGGCTGCACAGTTCTCCATGAGTCTTTGCTGCCAGGTAACCTCAGCCAGGCCGGGAGGAAATGGAAGCGGACAGCCCTCAGCACAGGGTGGGGGGCCTTGTCCCACAAGAGGTTCCAAGTCAGCAGTCTGTACAGAGCTCAAAACAAGACCCTTCTCTCCCCTCTGCACCAACAGCAGCTTTAGCGGGTGGACGGCAGATGGTTTCTGTTGTGTGAAAACCTAGAGGAGAGAGGCCCTGTCACTACCCAGGCTCCAGTGCAGGCCCACAGGAAGCCACCAGGTGGCGTGGGCTGAGGTCAGCAGCACAGAGCAGGCTGGGAGATGAAGGGGGCACCGCCCATTGTAGCCACTACTGGCAGGAAAGACCACCCTCCTCTCTCCAGCCCTGAAGCTACAAAACAGAAAGGAAGAGAGGCAGAGATCCTCTTCCAAAGTGACCCCTACAGCCCGTCCTGGGGCCCCACCCCAGCTCCCTCACCTCTGCACCCGCTCCACCAGGTGAGCCATCAGCTTGTCAGAGATGCCGGGGCAGGACTCCTCCGCCAGGCTGAAGGCGTTCTCCAGCTCCTCCAGCGCCCCCGCACCCCCGCCGCTCTGCCTGTGCTTCTCTTTGAGCTGCGGACAGACCACCATGCGCCTGGTCAGAGGCTCACACTGAAGACCCTCAGGCCCTCTCCTGTGACTTGCATTTGGGGGCCCCACTCACGGTCCTTCCACCAGAAAGCCAGGATGGCTGGGTACAACCAGCCTCCCATGCTGTGGGAGGCCCAGCTAACCACAGGACTTCCGATTGTAAGTGACAGCTCAGGGCTTGAGAAAACAGCCCAGAAACTAACTCCCAGAGTGCACTGCTCAGCCAGACCACCTGCTCTGACCCCCCTCGGCCTCCATGCTGCGGGAACCGCTGACTTGGCAGGAGCAGTTAGGGACAGGTCAACACGGCCCTCCCTGCCACATCCTGACACCTGACACATATGAGGAAGAGCCTGCATGTGTCCCAGTTCACTCCACCAGGCAGCCCAGACCTCAGGCCCAGCTTACAGGGTCAGGACCCCTAAGGGATGCCCCTGCCAGCCTGGGTGGGGCTCTGCCTCTCCACTGGGCTCACTGTGGAGGCCGCAGCAGCCTACAGACCTCCCCCCCCATCCCCCGCAAATAAACAAACACACACATGCTCCAAGCAGCTTGGGATATGGTAGACCTGCCTGCCTCTCCAACACCTGTCAACTCCCCAGGCCCTGCCCCACGTGGGGCCCAGCCTCTAATCCAAGTATTTAAGCTGAGCTCATAATTTCCCGCAGGGTCCATGACAACCAGCTCCATCCAACCTCCTTCCCTCGAATTCCAGGCTTCTGCCCTGTCCAGACGCCCCCGCCTTCCTCGGGAAGACTCTGCTGTATCCTGTCCCCCTCCCTGGATTCCAGGTGCTGCCTTCACTCCGGGGTAGAAAGTGGTCACTCTGAGGGTAGAAAGTGGTCACTCTCGGCTGCATCATACTCCCATCGGCAGGTGACACAGATACAGGGTCAATTGCCATGAAGCAAGAACTACATCTCAGGATGCTTCTGGTCACCCTGTATGTTTGTAGTTCAAAGCCATTCTGGGGCCCCCAGCAGGGCAAGGGCAGGCACGGGGACTTGAGAGGACCATGTCAGGGCAGTCAGTCTCAGCTGTTCCCTGTCCTGCTGCAACAAAGCCTGGCCAACAGTTAGACCACTGTCAACTCCAAGGGACCTGGAACCCTGTATATTGGGCACTGCAGCCCCATGCCCCACAGAACCCCCAGCCTAGCCCTCACCTCTCCAAAGACAGGCCGGACCAGCGTGGACAGGCACTGGGACCGCGGCTGCCTCTTGACGGGCTCCACAGACTGCAAAAGCAAGGCCACAGCGAGGTGAACAGGGCAGAGGCAAGTGGGTGCTCAGGGCAGGTGTGCTCCACCCTGGCCCCGTTCCCAGCCTCCTTGAGATGCAGAATGTGAGAAGCACAAGGTACCCTCCCAGCACATGCAGGTCCGGGGCCTGGGGGCCCGCACCTTCTGGGGGCCGTGCAGGGCCGTCCCCTTGTGCAGCTTGCTGTGTGGGCTCGGCCGGATGGTTGGAGGGAACGTCCAGATGGGGCCCTGTTCTCCGTCCTCAGCATCTCCATCACTGCAGAGGAGAATGAAGTCAAGAGTGCCCTGAGGGCCAGGATTCAGGGAGATCCCAAGCACCCCCCTCCCCACTACTTTCTGAGGCATCCTCACGGCCCTAAATGCTGGGTAGGGGCCTTGCTCAGGCTGCAGGGGCCAGGTGGCCACCAAGTTCCTCAGAAACCAGCACCCAAGCTCCTGCCCTGGAGCAGGGACCCCTCGCACGTCACAGCCCAGAGCAGAAGCCCTGCACGACAAGCAGACCTACATGTCCGAGTCCTCAGAGCTGGACTCCTCGCCGTGCCCCTCAGACTTCCAGCGCTTGTAGCGGTCAATGAGCTCTGTCAGGAAGGAGGTCTTCCTGGTATATCGCGTGATGAACTTGTGCTTCAGGAGCTCTTTGGCGGTGGGCCGCTGCAGGGGAGTGGGCAGGCATCACAGGGTGAGGGATGGCTGGGCTCGTCCTTCAAACTCCTGGTGCCCAGACTCCAGCCAGCCAGGCTGGGAACGGGCCTAGCATAAGCTCTGACAGGACCCAGTGAGGGGTTCCGGGGGAGAGGGGGGGACCAGGAAGCTGGGACTGGGCTCCACTATCTGCCCCAGGCCAAAACCCTCCAAGAGCTTCCCCAGACCCTGAACAAGGAGGGGCCTAGGGCCCTGTCACCTCCCATTTCCCACCACAGACCTTCCCCGAGGACTGGATTGGTCCCAGCCCACCCCATGTAGCCAGGGGCCTGAAGGCTTACGAAGCGGGGGTCCTTGTTAAGGCAGGCCTCCACAAACTCCTTGAAAGGCTTGCTGTGGTGGCCCTCCAGCGTGGGCGGGCTGTTCTTGGGGATCAGGAACAGGACACGCATGGGGTGGAGGTCAGAGTTCGGAGGCTCACCCTTGGCCAGCTCGATGGCTGTGATCCCCAGCGACCAAATGTCGGCCTGGACAGAGCCACAAAGAACAGTTGCCACCAGAGGCACCCTGAGCCCTGCTGCAGCCACCCTCATGCCTGCCGTGCCCACCTTGAAGTCATAGGCTGACTGCTTGATGACTTCGGGTGCCATCCAGAAGGGGGTGCCCACAAATGTGTTCCTCTTGATCTGTGTGTCCGTGAGCTGCCCCGCCACCCCGAAGTCTGCCAGCTTCACGTCACCTTGCTCTGAGAGCAGCACGTTGGCAGCTGCTCAACACAGGACGGCAGGGCGTCACCTTTTAAGCCATGCAGACCCCCACCCTATGTGCAGCTGCAAAAGAAGTGCCTGCTGGCAGCCTCCTGGCCTCCTGGGACACCAGCAGAGCCGTCCCTGGGACCTCATCTTGTCTCTCCTCCACCCAGCAGGCTAGAGATGGAGCAGATCTGTCCACCCTCAGACCCAAGGCCACAGGGCAGTGCCAGCAAGCCAGGGGCCCACCCTGTGCAGCCCCCCAGCCCCAGCTCCGGGACCCCGCTTTAGTTTGCCTTTTATGACAGATCCCCAAAACACAGCAATTGCCCTTTCCTCCCAAACCATCTAACCGGCAGAGCTTCCCCCTCACTCCACCACCGAACATGCAGATTCCCTCACTCCCCAGTGTCTCCAGTCAGACACTCAGCAGGACCAGCCCACACCTGATGCAAACAATGTACACTTTTGGCTTAAATAGGGTCCCTTCTTACACTAGGCGCACAGTAGGTGTTTTTGCCATATGGAAATGTGGTGCTAAGTTCTACCAGTTACTGGCTGTGTTTCCTGGCAACCGAGCTGATGGCCGTGCTCAGGTCCCAGTGGGCACCGGGCTACAAGAGTCCCCACATCCCAGAGGCCTAGCACCACCATCCACGTGCCCATATCAACCTGCCACCTCATGCCCTGGTCTTTCTAGTGTCGCGGAGCTCAGGGGCCCAGGCAGGAGCCGTGCCCTGAGGGACCTTTGATGTCTCTGTGGATCTTGCGCTCTGAGTGCAGGTAGTCCAGGCCCTTCAGAATCTCCCGCAGGATCGTCGCGATGTAGGTCTCCTCCAGGGGGCCCGGTTTCAACTGTGCACAGACCGGACAGCAGGACCTCAGACTCCCTCCACCAAGGCCAATCTGCCCTTCCTTCCACACCACCCGTCACCAAGGCCCCGGCTCAACCGCCTCACCACCAGGGGAGGGTGACCCTGTGCACAGTGGGGCTCCCTACTCCATTAACCACTTTGGAAATAAAGTTTCAGGTGTGGGTCAAGAGGCTGTTTTTAGAGAACATACAATACCTTCACTGTAAAGGCAGCCGATGAAAATGGGGTCCCAGCACATTCTAACCTGTATCACTGGGGACACTAACCCTCTGCCCCCTCCCCAGGCCAGAAGATGCCCAGGACCCTCAGCACCAACCAGTGGGGACTAAAAATAGCACTTCATTTGGGCTTAGTCGGCCAAGATAGCGTAGGAAAGAAGTCTAGGGACACAGGTGGGACAACCCCAGAGCACCCTTCGGTCTGGTCCTCCCCTGGCAAGCTGCCACTGTTTCGGCCTACACCTCACCAGGTCCAGCGCGGAGCCGCCACCCAGGTACTCCATGATAATCCACAGCTTTGTGCTCTGGGACCAGAGAAATGCCGGTCAGTACATGTAGTCAGCAGGGGGTTCCCCAGGCCCCATGACATACTCCCAGGCAGGGCTCCGGCCTGTGGGGAGCCCTCCAAGGCATCCAGCAGCCTTACCCGGCTCCCTCCCATCACACTCCTACGACAGCAGCTTTGCAGATGGAACATGCGCTCAGACAAGCAGCCAAGTCTACTCTGCAACAGCCCATCAAAAACTAGGCTGGGAAGACGGCTGCCCAGCTAGCATTGACCTTGATGTATCCACACACTGTGTGCCCTGGGCAGGCCCCCGAGCTGGCACTGGGCTCTGCTATAGGGCCTCATAAATGCCATCCTATAGGGGCTACCCCAGCCAGGGAGTCATACAGCCCATTCAGATTCAGCCTTAAGCCCTGCCTCTCCCAGGACTCCCCCTCAGGATGAGAGGAGCCTTCCCAACGCCCGCCTGACCCTCTAGGTGGTTGTTTTGGGGGCTTGCTCAACTGTGAAGCTGTGACCATGCTCGCTGTCAGGCCATGCCCCTCCTCCCCATTGTTCCAATATGGGGCAGGTGCAGAGACTGTTGGGTTTAGCCCCGGCCCCAGGGAACCCTGGGCATCCACCTGAGCACGGGCCCCGCCCCAGACACCTTCAGGTAGGAGCCGAAGTATCGGGTGATGTAGGGGCTGTCACACTGGCTGAGCACGGTGATCTCCTGCTGGATGTCCTCGATCTCGTCCTCGGCCTCCTCCAGGTCGATGATCTTGATGGCCACCACCTCCTTGGTGCGGTTGTCGATGCCCTTGAACACCTCCCCGAAGGAGCCCTTGCCAATGCGGTCCAGCTTGGTAAAGAGCTCCTCGGGGTCCACACGCGAGTGCTGCAGGGACACAGGCGGGCAGCCCGTCAGCGCAGGGCAGCTCTGCAGGGACGTGGGGAACCCATGTGCCAGCAGCAGACAGCTCACCCAAGGTCTTTTTGAGTTTCCTCTTTCGTCCCTTTTGTTTCAGGAAACCAAAATGCACCCTCCACAGGGAGATCCTCAGAGAGCACAGAGGCCTGGCTCCAGCCAAGGGGCGGAGGCGTGGAGCACGTGGAGGGGCCACAAAGGCCACACCCACCGCCCACCCCCACCGGAGGGGAGGACCAAGTGAGGTGCAGAGATGGGTTAAAAGTAGGTGAAGCATAAAGATTTTAGGCAGTGATATCATTCTGTAGGATATAATACCACGTGAAAACCATGGGCATAGTTAATAATGTATCCTTGTTGACTCATCAATTTTAACAAACACACAAATGCAAGATATGAATCATATGCTAACACCGGGGAGAGTGACCAGACCTCTTGCTCATTTTCCTGTAAACCTAAAACTACTCTAAAAAATTCTCTTAAACAAAACACTCAGCGTGCATGAACTCACCTGGCAGCCACCCCCCTTAGAAAGGGCTTCCCTTCACCACCCCCACGCAGCCCGCAGGAAGCTGCACCCTCACTCCAGCACCACACTTGCCCCTGGACACTCAAGTGTCACAGCAAACTGCCCACATGGCCCTCGGATTTAAACACAAACGGCCTGAAAGGCACAGAGCTGCCAGTGCAGATGGTGCCGGGACAGGGTGGCAGGGGGGCTCAGAGGTCTCAGTGTGGGGCTGCGTGGAGAACAGCAACACCGGAGAGCTGGCCAGCACCACCCTGGGCATCCCCCAGCTCCCGCCCATGTGGCGTCCTGGGCTCCTGAGAATATTACGCTCCACAGACCATGTTCTCAGAAAGCCAGGGTCGGCCTTTCAGGCCCAGTGACGAAGGAGCCAGGTGCCCACAACCCACATGTCCTTTTGCGGCCTTGTCTGGACAGAGGCAGAAAGGTTTCCAAGCCCCCTAGACCTCAAATCCCGCAGGGCACCCCTCCTTCTGAAGAGGCCACCCCAGCCCACCCCACCGAAGGGCCAATGTAACTGACAAAAATCACACCGCTGCCTAGGTGCCGACACCAGCCCAGGGAGGGAGTGCTCCTCTCGGAGCCCGTGCTCACCTGGGCTCACCCCCGGGCACAGCTCCAGCCTGGCCCAACCCGCTGCAGACTGAGACCGCATGTCAATCAGAAACTACCAGTTACTTGCCTTCCTGGGGTTCCTAACCAGGAGGAAGGGGACACACAAAGGCCCAGACCTCAGATGATTCTGGGTACCAGGCAAGCCAGAGAGAGCTGCAGGTGATAGGTGAGCAGGCCCTGCGGAGGCTGGGCCAGAAGCAGGGTCTCAATTCAGAGCCCTCCCCAGTAAGGCAGGCCAGGCAAAGCCAGGGGATGCAGCCACAGGCAGGCGCCTCAAGCAGGCCTATGGGTGTCCACTGGCACCTTGACTCAGCCAGTTAAGGAATGAGGCCCTTCTCACTCGCTCACGGAAAACAGCAGTCCAGTGCATGTGGAGGAAGAGACAGCCGCAGATGCGTGCAGCCAACTGCTGCCAGAAATCCCCAAAGTCAAGGTCAAGGGCAGGACAGTGAAAGCAGAGGGCAGCACAGGTCCCTCACGCCAGGCTGCCCCAGCCTGCCCCAGCCTCTTCCTCCTGCTTCACATGTCCTAACAGGTATGTGGCTTCAAATCACAGCTGCTCAGCCATCTTCGAGGTGAGAGATGGGGTCATGGATCACAAGATTAGGACCAACCCCAGCTGGAGAGAACAGCCTCTCATCAATGCATTGCCCACACCGCTGACCACTTGACAATCAACATGACACTCCTTCCCGCTGGAGAAAAAGCTGGCTCTGACCTGGGTGGGGAACCTCGATGCACCCTGCTCAGCCTTGGCCACGTGTGGAATGTACGTAGTCCAAAAAGGGCCCTCTCTGCTCACTCCTCCCCCACTGACCCACAGTGCCTTCCACAGAGCTTAATGGTGCCCTGAAGGCTTGCCCCCAGCCCCAGCTCATGTTGGGGCAGCCCTGTAAGACACCCAGCCCCCAGTGATTACAGTCCAGTTGGTGCCCTGACCTTGCGACCTCTGTCACTGCAAGGACAGTCCTCTCCTAAGGTGGCCGAAGACCCAGAGGGGGGACTGAGGCCTGGCAGCACCCTCGTCACCACTGCCCTTCTAGCTCTTGGCCCCCCACCCCAAACCACACTCAGGCCTCTGCTGATAACACACCCTCCGCTCCACTGCGAACAGTGTCGCCCTGCACACCCAGCCAGAGCTGAATCTGGTCCACGCAGCCACCCAAAGGAAATCCCAGGCAGCCTCGAGCAGAATTCAGAGCGCCCCTAAGCCAGGGTTCCGGCTCAATATGGAAGGGGACCCCCAACCCTCAACTCTCATACTCTGGAGGTCAGTCAACTGAGCTGATAGGGTGTGACAGGCATAGTCCAGACTATGATACTGACCCTACAAGCAATCAGGGACGACCATTCCCCCCCAGGGTGGAGGAAAGGCAAGCAGCTCCCCATCTGGGCCCAGGCTGCCCTTCTAGGGGATGTAGTGGTTTGGACCAGTCGTCGGCAAACTTGTATCTTCCTCCACCCCTCCTCTCCAGGCCCCCTCCAATGGTTTCCTCCCTCCGTGGGCTCAAATACAGAAGCAAAAAGGGCCAAGCCTTCATGCACATCAGTTGTGCTGATAGATGCCTAGGACTAAGACACGCCCAGGCTCCATCAGATATACCCAGACAAACCCCAGACTCAGAAGATCTGTCACCTTTTACAGCTGTCAGCAGGATTAGAGATGGAACATGTGGTAGCTGCTCAATATATTGAGGTGGTGGTGACAGCTGTGAAGGAGGAAGAAGAGGGAAAAGTAGAAGGGAAAAGAAAAGGGGACAGGAAGGAGAAGAGGAAGATGGTAATGGCTGTGGTGACCACTCTTAGCCAAAGTCCCAAGATCGAACTCAGTGCTCTAACCCTTCGCCACTCCAAGTGTGGCCCATGCACCAGCAGTG